TGAGTCCATGTGAGTGAGAGTCCTGGCACAGAAAGGGTAATTAGATTTCATTTCTCATTCCAACCAGCTGCAACTGACTGGTTGGGGCTAGCTGCCTAGAGGGCTGGGCTGAGTAGGAGTCCGAGGCTCCTTCTAGGACCAGCAGGAATGAGGGTTGAGATTGATTAGGTATTTCTGCCAAAGGCCTGGACTTGCAACTAATAGAACAGCAGTTGGATTTTGCTGTCCAAAGCTTAGTTCCTATAATGACCTACTGTGAGTTCCCCTTGTCAATGGACAAGGCTAGTGGTTTTCAAAAATGTTTAAATCACTGGGATCCTTTCTTCAAATGAAATTTCATGTGGAAACAGATCAAAGCAGGGCTATTCTGGCCAAAGAGAGGAGAGAAGGCTGGAAGTCTCTTCTACTCTCTCTCCCTTTCCCAGTGGTAGCTCCTGAGACACCACCATGGAACATGATTGGAAAACGACTAGAGGAGGGACTACTTTAGAAGAGGGCCAGAGAAGATCTCTCTGAGAGGATGGCATTTGAACTGAGATCTGAGAAGATCTCAAGAAGGCCATTTTAGGCAAGGGAACAGCAAGTGCAAAGGCCCTGGGTGAGTACAAGCTTAGCTAGTTTGGGACACAGAATGCTTTCATGTGGCTAGAGTATAGGGAGTATGGGGGTTAAGGTGAGAAATGAGGTCAGGTAGGTAGGAAGGTAAGGCCATACAGGCAGGATAAGGAGTTTGGGTTTGATTTTGAGTGTGATAGGAAGTTGTTGGAGGATTTTAAATTTTTAAAAATATCACTGGCTACTACTATACAGGGGCAAGAGTAGAAGACAGGACACCAATGATCTGTTACAGTGGCTCGTGTGAGATATGATGGAAGCTTGGCTGGGATGGTAGCAGTGAGCTTTTCAGAAGTTAGAGGTAGAGTGGGAATGGGCTATGGGCATGCTTTCTTATCTCAGGCATAGAGACTTAGGACAATGGGGTGCTGAGATTGAAGGAGGGATGCTGTCCAGACTAGGTGAAGACCCCTTCCATTTATTGCCTGCAGAAATCCTGCTCATTCTTCAAGACCCCACTTCCCCTGGGAAATAATCCTTTAAGACCCCACTTCCCCTGGGAAATCTTCCCTGGCCCAGCATGATGGTCTCTGTCAGAGGGTTGACTCTTACTGTTTACTACTGGGTCTTATTCCTTCTTTTCTTAAAGACTACTAGATATGGGAGGGACCTGATAGTGGTCTGCTCTAGTCCCCTGATTTTACAGATGAGGACTAGAGGTTCAGAGCTGATAGTAAACTCAGGTCTCTTAATCCCCGGTCTGGTGCTATTTACACTCCATCCTCAACTTTTCATTTATTTATATCTCATATCCCCAACTAGATTATAAACTTTCTTCCTCATCTTTTTATTTTAGATTTAATTAAAGATTCTTAAGAACAGTGATCATACCTTATTCTCCTCCTTATCCCCCTAGCATCTAGCATAATGCTTGGCACAAACATAGAAGTTCAACAAATATTTGCTGATTAGCTCTTCTGCACATCGTGGAGCCCACTGCCACAGGAATTGTCTCCTCCCTCTTTCCCCTCACAGTTAACCTGGCTCCCCACACCAGAGCTGACATTGCTCCCCACCAGCTGCACTGCTGCTGTCCCTACGTCCCTGGCCGGTCTCTCCTGATGCTTCTTACAGCCGGGTCTGGAGCGCATAGCAGGGCCTCGCTTCAAAGGGAAGGGCTTGGAGCAGAATTCTTTTCATTTAATTGCTACGCTAAGACTACAGTTAGTCTTGGAGTCTGATGGGCATTAGGCCCAAACCCCAAGCCATGGGGGGAATTATTAAGAAGATGTGACTATGCATTATTACTTTTGCCTTTCTTGGATGCTCACTTATCTATCAGTAAGTGCTTATGAGAAATAAAATGACTGATTCTGAAGACCTAGCCCCAGAGGCTATGGTCTGCTACGTGGGGAGAAGAGGCCTTCACACTTGCCCAGAGGACCACTGCATTGGGCTGCTAAGTAACAATGGCAACATGTTATTCACTCAGTCCATTTATTGAGGATCTACCGTATGCCTGCACATATCCATTTCTGATTATTAATGCACACCTTCAAATTAGAATTTAGAAGTGCAGAACTACATAAAAATATAAATCCTTGCTCATAACAAAAAACAGTAGCGTATGAGGACACTAACAGAACCTGTTCCAACTCTTCCCTCTTCGTCACATAGAATTTCCTAACAAGTTACATAGATAACCTGCTTAAAGGGCCATCTTAAGTGAGAACCGTAAAAATTTTTTCCCCATTTTGGGAATACTGACAAGAGCTAACAAACAACAGAAATTTTAAAAGATTCCAAAGTCACAGAGCAACTGACAGAAAGTTAAGGCATGAAGGTTCCTCGAATTAACTTCATTAACATAATGTAACAAGATGTATGTTATCAACAAGTTGGGCCATTTCTAATCAGTAATTAGGTCCACATGGACCTAATCTCTTTACTCTTGATTTATCAACCATGTCTTGTGCATCCTGTCCACCCTGCTTGCAGAATATGCCATTAAAATAGTGTCTGTCAAGCTTTTTCAGCTCCTAGCAACTCGGGAAGATCAAACTTCCTTAAGGTTGACCTTCTCTCCCAGGACAAATCACTGGACTTAATCAGGAATAGAGTCCACCTTTTGGTGAGAAGAAATGTCTCCATTTTTTAAAGTATCCTATGTAGATACAGCTTACATAAAGTCCTTGGGTGACCTCAGTCACATCCAGAGCTTCGATTTATAAGGTGATGACTCAGTTCATATCTCTAGCTCAAAACTTTCTATCATGCTCCAGATCCATGGTTCCAAGTGCCTTAACATCCCAAGGGCAGCTCAGATTTGCACTCAGCACACACATACACACACACACACCCACGTACACTTCCTGTCCTAAATCTAAGTTTTAGTAAATGATATCATTGCACATCCAGGTTTCCAAACCAGAAATTGAAAGCATGCTTGAGGCGCAAGCAGGCCTGCTCTGGTTTGTTGGAATTTGGATTATTTGAAACTAGTGTCAAAACAAAGCTTTCTTTAGCTCTCATACTCTCAGGCAGTCGCTCCCTCCTCGGCCAGGCCCCACAGGCGGCCGCCTTCCTCTGGGCCCCTCTGCTTTTTCCCTCACCTGGATCTATGTCTCAAGGTTGTACAAGGACCTCTGCCCCAACACAAGGGGCTCACCAGGCTGATCAACAGAAATCATCTGAGGAACTTTTGAAAACTAAAGTTTCCCACCTTTTCCCCAAGAGATTCTGATTCAGAAAGTCTGAGGTGAGACCTAATCTGCCCTGGGTCAAAGAAGACCGTCAAAGAATTCGTCTGAACTCCAGTGCCAGCAGGAGGGACCTGGGGTGCTTTGTAACACCCCAAGTTTCGGACCACTGTTCTCCCAAGTAATGATGGTGCCATATGTGTCTGTACACGGTGGCTGTTGCCACACACCCGTCATGTGCACAAGCACATAGACTTACACACACACACACGTGTATACCCCCCCACCCCCATTTTATGTGGCACATGTACCCAGGTCACCCTGACGCATCGCTTTCAGTGGCCTCTACAAGCAATCATTCACTAAAGAGTCATTCACTCCTGCCCTGCTCCCTCCTCACCGGCCCCCTCCTCCCTTCTCCCCATGACTGTAGCAGGTTCCTAACTGGTCTCCTTACCTCTGTACTGTCCTCTACACTCCTGACTTGGGGGTCTTTGAAAATACAGATCAGAGCCACTAAAGTGCCTGGAGCCCTGCAGGCACTTCCTTCTACCATCAACCCAGCCCAGCCTTCCCAGAGTGTACATACTACTTCAGGCCATTGCTCTCACATCAGCAGTGACAGAAGAAACATAAGAGGCAGCAAATATTGAGAAAAGCTCTTGAACTCATTTTAGGTACACCAAATATCTCTTGATTAAAATGGGTTTGTAATTCTATACCCTTTTATAACATTCTCTCTTATGGCAGCCTTCTCATTAGAGGTTAATATGAGTAATTTTTTTTTTTTATTAAAGAGGAGGTCTCATCATTAGATAAGTTTGCAAAATATCTGATAAGATGAGATTAGACAAGTTAACTTAAACTGCTGTGGATTATGAATCTTCATGGGTGAGAAGTCACATACCGAGCTTCCCAGAGTTTTTTGATTCTTTTTTTTTTTTAAAGATTTTATTTATTTTATTTTTTCCCCCCAAAGCCCCAGTGGGTAGTTGTATGTCGTAGCTGCACATCCTTCTAGTTGCTGTATGTGGGACTCGGCCTCAGGATGAACGGAGAAGTGGTGCCTCGATGCGCACCCGGGATCCGAACCCGGGCCACCAGCATCGCAGCGCGTGCACTTAACCACCAAGCCACAGGGCCGGCCCGAGTTTTTTGATTCTGCCTGCACTTTGTAAAGGAGTATCTCACAGGCGAGTGTTCCCTGGGGAACACTTTGGGGAATGTCCTACAGGAAAAGGGTTTCCGGAATTTGGATGACTTGGTGAATGGATTAAAGGAAAACCCAATATTCTGTAAGACACTACATATAGAAAAGAAAAAAGATGTTTTTCTCTTTAAAGAAGTAGCAAACAGGGTGTTTTCTGCATCTCCAAAGAAAATGAATTTTAAATGCTTTAGAAAAATGAACTGAATACTCTTCTCCCTCACTCCACCCTATGCAAAACTCTAATGCGATATTTATTTAGTATTTTTCCAAAGGAGAGACTTCCCGAGTTTGTGCAGGACTGGGCAATTATTGGAGAGTGAAGAAGCCTTGATCCCTAAATATTATTCTTCTTTCCATAAATATTTCCCGATATTGATCTTGTTAGCAGGTCATTCTTTCCTAGATCTTCTTATTTTTCCTACTCAAGAAAATTGAAAATATTATATAATAAATCTTACTTATCTCTTTCTGTCCCCCTCTCCTCTTCCCTTTCCTTCTCCGTTACCCCATCCTATATTTCTTCCCTTGTCCTCCAGGAACCTTCTGCATCATTTCACTGTGCACCTGTGTGGCTGGGATCAACTTTGAGCTGTCACGCTACCCACGCTACCTGTATGGACTCCCCGATGACATCAGCCATGGCTATGGATGGTCCATGTTCTGTGCTTGGGGTGGCCTGGGCCTCACACTCATCTCGGGATTCTTCTGCACCTTGGCCCCTTCTGTCCAACCTGTCCCGAGGACCAACTACCCTAAATCCAGACCCGAGAATGGGACAGTGTGCTAAAAAACAAACCCATACCCATATATATATATAAATATATATATAATATACATATATAAAAGAAAACTAAATCAAGCTGATGCCAGTGCCAAGGTAGCGTTGAGTTGGCTCAGGCACCCGCATCTCGTCGGACTTTGTGTTGCCTCATCACTGAGGTGGGGAAGTGTTCCCATCCTGTGGCTCTTCCGTCAGTTCTTGACTTTTGGCTCCATGGTTTCTTGAAGACAGAATGAACATCACCACTGGCGATAGTGTCCTGATTCCATCACTCACGAGGATGGATGGGGTGGTGGGCTGGGAGGGGACAGTGCCAGTGGTCTGAAGTGGCACAGATGTAGAGAAGGAAGTGCCATCCACTGGGCTGACAGGAGAGGACGCCACCCCAACATTGATCATATCACAGAGAAACAAAGCCCTTAGTTCATAGAATGTAACCAAATCTTTGAGGCCATTTGCAGAACCACGTCTTCACCTGCTCCTTCCTGTTCCAATTTCCTTCCTGGCCCACCAACGACACATAAGAAGTGGAAGAGAAAACAAACAGAAGGAAGTTTTCTCTTTGCTGCCAAACTTTTGGACAAAGTTTTAGAGGTGGGAAGGGGGAGAGAACAACATGCTGAGAAGCAAGATCTGCATCAATAAGAGGACACTTCAGTGGATGCTCAGAAAACCCAGTCGTACCTTCCAGCTGCCTTATACCCAGTAAACAAGAGGCCGCCCCTCTCCCACCCACACTCCCTGGGCAGATGGAGCCTTGGAGTAACGCTGTGATGTGCGTGTGCATGTGTGTGACCACTCCAGGTGGTTTCCTTTTTTTCTTTTTACCTTTCAAATGGAAATACTGCATTTTGACTGTTGTCTCTCTGTCACTTGCGGTAGTTTCATGGCCCAGGATGGAGGCCCTGAGACCTAGGAAGTATAATGAAGGGCAGGCCTAGATGGGTGCCAGTTCTGCAGCTTCAGATCCCTGGAGTGTGTGTGTGTGGTGGATGTTTGCTGAGTGTGGGGTTTTATCGTTTGTGTTGCATTTTTCTGTTATTTTTAGTACAGCTGAAATTCCCAGAGGGCAGAACTAAGAACAAAACCACTGGGCCAGAGGACCCTGTGGTTCTTCACATCATGGTTCTGGGACGCCTCAGGATTTAGTCCTCTAATTTTGGAAGTTCAAGACACAGCTGGGGACAAAAGTCATGAGAGAAGAGGGGGAACACAGTTCAGAAGGGAGAAGGAATGTCGCCTCTGTTGCTGTTGTCCAAGTACGTATACCAAACAAGACCTTTCACTCCCCATCATGGAAGCTGTCCTTTGTCACTGGACATCCACCCCTTTCCTAGGGTGACCTCTGTACAGATGAAAGAAAATGGGGCACATGCAGAGAGAACACTTCCATGTCCCATGGGCTCGAGTTTGTATGATATTGTGTAAATTAACGGAGAACTCTTGACTCTTTCCATCCTCTTCCTTTCCTCTTGATCTTCAAGGCCATGAATCCCAAAATAGCTGTCTTAGTGGCTAGCACCCAAACAGAGGTGGCATGAATCTCCCCAGTGTCTCAGGCTCATTTGAGCAAATTGGCATTGCCAGTGTTGGTGAACTACAAAGTCACCCAGAGAGTTGTGAAAGCCGTTAGGGACAGGAGTCTGCCAGAAAGAGTGGGCAGGAGCAGCTGATGGTCACCTCAGTGACCCTGCTGGGGCTGAGCAGCCCTGGGGAGGCAAGAGAGACTCCCCAAGCTGAACAGGCAAGGGTCAACCATGGAGCCGAGAATTCAGTTGCTTCATAAATAAATATGCTTTGGGAACTTTGCCAACCACTCGGTAGCCTTCCTTCCCACCCACGCATTCTGTTTCATCTCCCTGTCTTCTAACCATCTTCCTACCAGTCTCCACATTTTCTTACCTACTAACCACTTACCTTCTCCCTCTTCCATTCACTAGGCTACAGGTACTGCCTGTTTCTTCATCTGCTCTTTCTGTGTGTGTAATGCACATCGGAAAGGACGTCTGATATGCATGAGTGGGCTTGAATGTGGGTTTCTGCGTGCGTGTATCTCTCTGGTGCTTTTTGTGTGTGTTTGTGTCAATATGTCCCTGGAGGCAGGAGTGGGTATCTTACCCAAGGACTTCCTTGCCAACGACACTGGTCAGCTTCTGCAAAAGGTGTTGTGTATGGGTGTGCTGGGTGTGAGGGGTGAGGTGTGTAGCAGGAAATGCAATTAGCTTCCAATTGAGGTTCTAGGATTATTTTTAAAACAAAGGATTTATTCTATGAGAAGGGGAATAATTTTCAGGAAAACTCAGTTTTTCAATTGTACAGAGAATTTTTAAAATTTTTCTTTGAAAAGTTAGGGAAAGGGCATACTGGGGCTTGAGGAGAAGTCTCTCAGATTGAGAGGGCTTGTGTCTTCCTTCCAAGCATCTTGAATGGGCTCTGCCTAGCAGAGGCTTGCAGGTGTCCATGAGTCTCCCTCTGGGGCAGAAGGCTTGTCTGTGACCAGACCCAAATTCTAGCTGTTTACCAGTTGCATGAAAGTGGGGAAAAAAATTCCAAATGGGGCAATTTGGTGTCAATAATTTAAACTTAAGTAACCATGTTTAAGGACACTGCCTCACAGACCTATCATTATGTTATGTCCTCTTTTTTTAACCCATGCTTGCCATAAATAGATCATCCACTCTATCCAGCTACTAATCTTTGTGATGGACCTTTAACACAACTTATTGCATTCTTTTGAAACCTTCCTGAAGTGTTAGGAGGACTCCTGGGAAAGAAGTGAATCACCTGGGCTCCATCAGCATTAGCAGAGCCAGAGCTTTGAGCTGCTGTTTTTGGTTGTGGGGCCAGATAGGTACAAATGCACACTGGGGTCTGATCTTGCTTGGGGCAAAAAACAGCCCAGCCACATGGCCAGGATGGAAGGCCCAGTCAGATGTCAAGTCCTGGCCAGTGGGAGAATTGCCCCGGTAACCTTGATTCCTCCAGCATAGGGGCTTGACCCCAGATTAAGAGATGCCACCCAAGCCGTTACTGACACTTCGTGCTATGAGGTGGTTGAGGAAGAGAAGGAAGAGAGGGAGGAGAAGGAAGAGGGGACCCTGGACCTGCGAGATTCTTTAGGTCAGACTCTACTAACTCCCGAGTAGAACCCAACCTTCTGATGAGATTTACGGTCAGCAGCCTCACTAAAGCCCCCAGCCCCCACCCCAGGTCAAGTTCAAATTCCTTACAGGTGTGTTCATGCAAGATTTATGACTACGTATGTGTTTTGAGCTCCATGCAGGTCAGCCTTGAGCATGGGGCCCATTTAAATTTTTATTCCCTTCTGTACGCTACAAGATTGGGGATTCAGAAAAGTGGGGTGTCTGCCTGGAAAAAAGTCCTATTTCTTTATTTCCCCATTTTGAGAGTTTTGGTTTATTCTTCTGTTTCCTTTTCATCTCTCCATTCCTACTTTCTTCCTACATCAACTTGGGTTAATTAAAATAGTTAAGGAATTCGTCTCTAGAGAGGCTCATGTACTCCAAGTGGTCCCCTTCCTTGTTCGTTGTGACTGGTAGGTTTCACAAGGAGGTCTGTGGCTCCCTGGCATCAAAATTTTTTTAAAGTGCCTGTTCCACCTTCAGCCCTCCCATAAACTCCAGCCTTTCAACAACTCTACCCTTTCAACTTCGGGGATTGTGAAGTCACGAAGACTTGACAACTCCACCAAATCCAGACAAGGCCTTCCTCAATCTCATGTCCATATGCAGCCCCCTGGGCCCCGGTACATTTTGGTATAATCTCTTGTTGGGGATAAAGGAAGAAGATATTCTGAGACTCCAAGACTGCGCCCTACATCTTAATACACATCCACAGTCATGATAAGAGGTCTAAAATGAATGTACCATGTCCAATTGTCCTGATTTAGTGAGAGGAGGTGCTAAAGCTGGCCACCTGAGTCAGATTCAGAATAATGAAATCAAGTACATCACCCGGAGGCATTTAGAATCAACTCTGTCTTCCCCTGGCTTATTCTGAAAGCGTTAATTAATTTTCAAGTATCTGAGGGGAAGGAGTGAGAAGAAATACACTATGGTCATCTTTGGTATGGTTTGTGTGGGATGCTTGGTTGATTCTTGTAGCTACAGTGAAGCTGTTTTTCCGATCATGTTCCCTCTGCTCCAGAGACTAACCATTCCCAGTGGACACGTCCAGCCCTTTCCAGGGAAATATGATGAGTCATAGTGAGCGGTGATTTCATCACAGATAGAAATAATTGGTGCACAGCCAGGTTGGCTATGTGCTGTCTTGTAGCTGGTATATGCTAGAGTAGGGGGACAGATTTTTAAACAAGACCACTTGAGTTGATGGACACAAAAGATTCAGGTGTTCCTCAAAACAGTCAACTTGGTGGGCTGTGTTTATCCTCTTTCCATTGATGCCACCATGGTGCAAAATGTTCCTTAAGCGTTACTGTTACTTCTTAGACTACATCATTATTGGTATTGGATTTTTTTCCTGAATAGTGTGTGCTCATTATAGAAAATTAGGAAAATAAAATACAAAAAGAACTAAAAGATTGTTCATAATTCCATTGCTCTGAGACATCATAATGGTCATAGCCCCAAAACTTCCCCAGTCAGTGGTTGCCTCTTGGTTGGCAGGTGGGGCTAGGAGGGCGGTCCATGGCTGTAGAGCCACAGCAATCTGCATGGAGTTGACCCTGTGTTCATGGCAGCAGGAGCTATGGGGCTCTGAGCCTCCAAAGATAGCTAAGAGGTCTTTCTAAAAGTTCAGTGCCAGAGTTTAGGGGCAGGGATGGAACAGAGCTAAAAGATTCCTACTTTAGGGTTTCTTTTGTACTTCTTTCTTTTTCTTTCTTTCTTTTTTTTTTTTTTGAGTGCCATCTTGATCTAATTATAGGTGTAAGAGCACTGAAGCCAGAGTAACTCACTAATTAAGCTATATTTGTATAATGCAGTTACTGTACATTTTATTTCAGCTCTGCACTGAAATGATTTGTGACTCTGGGCACTGTGTCTTCTCCATACTTGAACTTCCTCATCCACGAAATGAGGATAGTGATAACACTTTTACCTCATGGTATATTAAGGGTGACAAAGAAATTGCAAAGTGATTTGCAAACATGAAGTGTCGTATAAATTATGCACTGTTCAAATTATCCTGCAGCAGCAGAGCCTCCACGAATGGAACTCTTCTATATGGTTTCTGTGCCTCGCTGCTGACAGGATGATCCAGAGTCAGAGGTCATCTTGGCCTCTGAACAGGACTGTACCTATCCAACTTAGGCACATGGAATTCTGTTCTATCCTTCAGCTCCCTCACAGAAACTGGCTCCTTAATTTACCCATCCCCAGGCTTCCTTCCTTTTGTCCAAAGCCAATTTTGCAAAGGGCACTCTTAATCCCCCTTGGTTATTCCCAGAGGTGATGGAATGAGTAAACCATATGGGACAAATAGCATAAATGAGCTAAACCAGTTAACTATTAACCAAGGCACATGGTCAATGCCTTATTGTTGTTGTTGTTGTTTTTACCATCTTTCTGATATTATTTCTAGCTGTACATGCCCAAGTGGTGGGAGCAAATCAGATTCTGAAACATTTTAATGGTCTTTTAAGTTTAAGATGAGAACAAGTTTCAAGGAACTTTGGAATCTTCTTTTTCGTAAAGCAGATGGCTTCATCTAAAGCGTATGGGTTCTTACAGGAAGTCTTTTGGGTGGTGCATGCACTATAAGATGTTCTGGGTGTGCTCCTGTTTGGGAAAAACTGAATCCTAGGTTCTAAACAGGAAAAGAATGCACTTCCAAAAGGGTCTGCACACTTGCTGCTTTGCAGGGGATCAGG